TGAACAACCATCAACAATATCACACCTGCGGACACAAATCCTCTACGCTGATAAACCCTACATCGTAATTGTCAATTAACGGTGCTTCGTCGACAAGAAGCGATCGACCTCCCTGTGTGATCAAGTAGTAATCATTATTGTCTGTTGCTGCTGGTCATTTCATCGATTCTTCGCCTTTTCTTGACGGTCTGCCTATCTTCACACTTGTTGTTTTGTCGGAAGATCGGAGAAAACAATGCGAAGCGCTTGGGTCCAGACACGGTTGCCGCTTTTTAGCAGAACGCAACATCTTTTGTCTTAATTGAAACCGATTTCTTGTCGAGAGGTTGGAAAACAGCCGACAACTCCGCTTTGAAAAAAGAAAAAAATAAGCACTGCTTATGCGTCAAGTATCTATCGGTGTCTTAGTCGATTTTCAGCCGTGGAAAGGTCCGTTTTCACAAGCTTCGGACAAAAAACCATACACCTAAGGCGTGTAACTCATCATTCTCAAAACGTCTACAAGATTAAATCAGAAAATTTTGGAATTTGAGAATTCAACGTCTTTTCACAACTAGGCTTCAGGCTTACTGTTTTAAGTATCCTTACGACAAAGGAAAGGAAGCTAGTGACATATATATATATATATATATATATATATATATATATATATATATATATATATATTTGCAACGTTTAAATATATACTTAAATGTATACATACACACAAACACACACATATATATATATATATATATTTGAAATTTGGTATATTTATAGAAAAGTGTTGAATTTCAGAGATAACGCCTTTATAGATATAAACAGTGTGGACATAGGAATCAACATTGTATGACAACAGTCAGTTTCACTTTTCAATGCTATCTTCAGACAAAGTGTTGATTAGTGTTTTCTCTCTCTCTCTCTCTCTCTCTCTCTCTCTCTCTCTCTTTGTCTTTGTGCATATATATATATATATATATATATATATATATATATATATATATATATATATATATTATAAGTTTTTTTCATATAGACAAAAACATTTACTCACTAGAAAATGCAACTTCGTTTCGGTGCATTTGAGTTGAACCTCGACTGGTGATAACCAAAATTGGATAACCAAGTTTATTCTCACCAGTCGAGGTACAATTGAAATTTTGTCCATTTTTTAAAACATTTATAATATTAATGCTCTGTAAATTTACATTGAGCACTATTTTGTAAAAAATAAAATATCTATAAGAACTCCGATTATATATCTTACTGTTCTTTTTTATATATATATATATATATATATATATATATATATATATATATATATATTAGGATATTAAATATCCTAAAATAAATAATATTTAGCTCTACTCTATACTGAGCCCTCTTTTAAATTAAATGTTACGTACAGTGGAATTATATTCCATTTGTTCTCACCTTACCTTTTGTTCTCATCTGACATATATATATATATATATATATATATATATATATATATATATATATATATATATATTAAGAGCAGTACTACAATGGAAATAACATGCAGAATGAGCTAGGAAACTTGCAGAAACTACTCCGGCTTCTCACGTTACATAAAAAACAAACACGAGAATGATTACAAAAAAAGCCAGACCCTGTACAAAACAAGTCAATTTTCCACATTTGCAATAAGCATTTCATCGTCGTTCTCACGAGTACGATAATTATTGATCAGACTTGTGAGCGATGGTCATGCACATTTAACGGGTCGACAGCCATCATATTTGTGTACGTATGTATGTAGGTATATGTGAGTGCGTGGCCAAGTCGGTCGAACATTCGCTTTCAAACCATGAGAATCTCACTATGGTCGATTTGTCAGGAAAATCACTTCTTGATGTCATCGACCAGGGGATACTTATACAACAGGTTAGCCTAAGCCTTGTGGTTGAGACTAGGTAGGCAGATCTTTTCAGAGGTCGGCAATGGTTGTGCTTACATGGAATCATAAGTCATTGTGACCGAGTGTTTAAGCTTACTGGCTTTGTTCAAACTCATGATCATGCCAGCTGAAGATCAAAATCTTCTATGAGGTAACACAAAAATATGCAGAACTGAAGAGAGCGGTTCGGAAAGAATCCCTGAATTGCCATAAGATACCATTCTGGCCATGTGCTCATTGCAATCGGCTGTTCAGGGCGGGTTTGCTCAGAAGAAAACAACGAATAACTCACCTAGTGAGCTTGGGTAAATGGACGGTGGACCAAGGTTTAGGAGAGATAGCAAAACGGCAAACTATATTAAAAGTTACGAAGAACAGAAAGTTTTGGAGACACCCACGTCTTGACGGAAAACGGCACATAGAAGAAGAAGAAGAAGAAGAAGAAGAAATACTGTATTCTCATCGTAGTATTGGTAATGGTGTTAGACCTGCCGTTATTATTATTATTATTAAGCAAAGAGAGAAAAAGAGAAAGACTGTGCTCTCATCGTAGTAGGTGATGGTGTTAGACCTGCCATTATTATTATTATTATTATTAAGTAAAAAGAGAAAAAGAAAAAGACTACTCTCATCGTAGTAGTAGTGATGGTGTTAGACCTGCCATTATTATTATTATTATTATTAAGTAAAAAGAGAAAAAGAAAAAGACTACTCTCATCGTAGTAGTAGTGATGGTGTTAGACCTGCCATTATTATTATTATTATTAAGTAAAGTGAGGAAAAGAGAAAGCCTGTACTCTCATCGTAGTAGTGGTGATGGTGTTAGACCTGCCATTATTATTATTATTATTATTAAGTAAAGAGAGAAAAAGAGAAAGACTGTACTCTCATCGTAGTAGTAGTGATGGTGTTAGACCTGCCATTATTATTATTATTATTATTAAGTAAAGAGAGGAAAGGAGAAAGAATGTATTGTCATCATAGTAGTGGTGATGGTGTTAAACTTGCCATTATTATTATTATTATTATTATTATTTTTAAGTAAAGAGAGGGAAGGAGGAAGACTGTACTCTCATCGTAGTAGTGGCGATGGTGTTAGTCATGTTAATAATTATTATGATTATGATTATTATTTCAAAGAAGCTGAAAAGAAAAGAAATCTACCGTTATGGTTGATACTGAAAAGGATTTGAGGCTATTTCAAAATAAACAATGATGTTGTTATTTTCGCAATGTCTGGTGGTGGAATTTACAGGAATTTACCAAAGTCTTCTTTTAATCCCTTCGATATCTTCGCAAAAGCACCGACACCTCATGCGACAGAATCCTTTTGAAAACAGATTATTAATATGAAAAGTAAGAAATGTGAATTCATTGTCTCAGCCAAGGATAAAATTCGTCTGTCTGTTAAGAAGCTTTGACTTAATTGGCTAGAGTTTTATCAGTAATAAAACTGCTAACAAAACATTGCACTAAATTTTCCTAAAGCAGTCCATTAATTGATAATACTGATTCTAATAAACGAATCTTCGAAACGCAATATATATATATATATATATATATATATATATATATATATTGTTTCGAAGATACCTTTATTAGAATCAGGACGTTGCAGCAAAATCCGACTCTTGACAAAAAGAAAACGAAATAGGCAATAAGTACAAAAGTTTTCTATGCAGAGACCCGACAGTTTATTTAGTAACAGTTAGAGTTACATAGTACGTTATTTTCCAATGTAACCGCCGGCGGCTGCGATGACCATCTCGAGGCGGGCGTGAAATGAGTCACACGCCTTGGAGACTATGTCCTTGTCCATAGGGGCGAACGCCTCTCCGATGGCAGCCTTCAGAGAGTTGATCGTGTTGTGGTCGTGCTTGTTGGTCTTGGCCTCAATCACGCCCCAGAAGAAATAGTCAAGAGGAGTTGCAGTCAGGTGAGGAGGGCGCCTACAAGTCCGGCGACCAGTAGTGAGGAACATTGTTGAGCAGCCACGCCTGGGTCGTCTTGGCCTTGTGTGGAGGAGCAGAGTCTTGCTGGAAGACGTAGGGGCGTTCGGCGGCGATCTTGTCCATCCAGGGTTTCACCACGCTCCCCAGCACCTTCTGATAGATCTCAGCGGTGATTTCCAGGCCCTTTTGAAAGAAGAACGGAGGCATGATGTCCCCCTCGTTTTATTGGAGTCTGGGAATGGGATGTGTGTGTTAAGTGTATGTTATTTTTAGTTTTTGTTTTTTGGGGGCATGGGGTGTTTGTTTTATGTCGAGGGTGATATGTGTATGTGTATATATTTGTATGAGTGTGTGTATGTGGGAGACCTCAATACCTCTGCAAGTATCTCTGTCTAGTGTGGTTCAGAAATGTAGGTAGGGCTTGATCTATGGGATTATATATTAATTCTATCTGTTTTGTTTAGTCTATGGTAAAGTCCGTCTGGACAAAGTGTTTTGAGGCGCAAAATCCATTTGTCTTCATGTTCCTCTAGTATTTTTCTAACTCTATCTTTTGTGTCTATTACTATTTTTCTATAATACTGATTTTTGCATGGCTTTTAAAATCATGTTTTTCTAGGCTGAAATGTTGTCCTACAGGTTGTTAGACATTTTGACGGTCGTCTTCGAGTATAGAACCCAGAGGTTAGCAGTGAATATTTCGGAGACAGTAGGAAAGCGTAGTTCAGGTTAGCAGTGGATACCGCAGCAAGTAGCAGTGCGTAGTTCTTCCTTCTGTCATCTTCGCCTGACAAGTTGGCACTGGTCATTCGGGTAGGGTAAACAAAAATGGCCGCCTTTATACACGACGGATACAATGTTCTGCGGCTTCTGATTGGTTAATCTTCTATTGGTAGACTATAAAGGGAATTAAGTCATTTTGACTAACTCACTAGTTACACACATATATATATGCACAAAAAACTGTAACACAGGTAATAATCTTTCGTGGGGATCCGACTTAATCCGATTACGATAATTATTAATTCTGTAGTAAAAGGGCCATTCAGATTTTCCCACATATTGTTTCTGGCATCTAATAAGGAAATTATGTTATGACTTCTACAGTTAGAGTTGTGATAGATTTTGAAAGTAGATTTAGTGACTGA